CCTATTTCAGCTATTCTTGCCTCGAACATACCTCCGATGTCCTACCTCAGACCTGCACGGAGTTCCATCTAAAACAACTCCTCCCTGTCGCACCATCAGAAGTGTCGTTCGGACTGTCTGGGCGTTTCGCATGGGATCCCCTCACCCTTTACGACATTGGTGATAACAATGTTTGCAGGCGTGGACCCAAAAGAGTGCGTTATTGCTCCCTCGATGCGAAATCTAATGTGCTACATGTCACGCAGTGTATCTGGCGCAAGCTACGCGGTAACATTGGATAACGCCACTAATGAGTTGTCAACTCCCCTGCTCGCGCAGACATCCCACCCTCCCACCCGCAGCTTCTTCTGCGAACCGCATGCGGCGGCCGCGATTGCGGTGACGGCTTGCCACTGGCTGGAGAGCATCTCTCCGGCCGCGCTGGCGCACGCAAACTCGCGCACCAAGCGGCCAATTAATTCAGCACAACTGGCGCTGCCGCGATTACACTGACGGGGGGGGAATGATCCTGGCACGTCTCAAAGGCGGCGATGGCGCGCGCGCGCGCTTCAATCCGAGTCGGTGGTTCGGAGCGCGATGTCACGATGACGTCGACGATGGCGGCAGAGATGATGATGGTTCCACCAGCCCGTTGGGGCGTAGGTGGCTTAGGGCATTTCCGCTTCCAAGTCCCCTTCTTCCCGTTCGGGGAAGGGTTCACCACTGCTCCATATGAATATACACCCCCTCCCCCACCCGACTGTGGGCCAACCCAAGACCTGCCCCCCCCCCCCAACCCCACCATCCCTCTCAGAAAATAATACATAACGCACTTTGCCTCCACATCTGGAGCATGCGCGGGCGCCCCGCGACCACTTTGCATCGGTGTTTGATAGGGATGGCGGGGGTGCCAGCTTAGTCAGCGCCACGTTGACCATCACTCGCGTTGCTGTCTGTTGTCAGCGCCACTTTGAGACAAGAACGGGGGGAAGCTGAAGGGAATGGCAGCACGACAGCCTCTCGAAATACCTCTGAAGAGAAGCGCCGCCCCAAAGCCAATCCGCTACCACTCGAAAGAAGCAGGCACCGCATGCGGAGAAGCGGAGGGCACAGACGGAGGAGCAATCCACAAGATTCTGAGCAGCGCTCAAGCCAACCTGCCATAGGCGATGTGGTGTTTGCCACGTGGTGCAATATGCGTGGTGCAAGCTATGCGCTCTCTCTCTCTCTCTCTGTTATCTTTTTTTTTTTCTCTCTCTCTCTCTCTTTCTCACGTGTTTGCTTGTTAATTCTCTATCTAGATCTAACTGTGTGTGTGTGTCAGTACACTGTGCACGCTGAGGCGTGGAAGAATGAGGGACACCCGCCCAACCTGCCCGAGTATGATTGCATGCATTCCTCGCCCCCCGCACGAGGCCACGATCCCTCGTTAACAAACTGGACCAACGCTCCCGATCCCTCAAAAAAAAATGGATCCTCGTCCCGAGTTTCCAAGACGGCCCACGCAGGCAAACAAGGACACCAAGATGGCCCAAGACGCCTCGAAAACGGCCCAAGATAGCCCCAAGGCGGCCCAATACACAGCTGGGGGAACAGTTCAACAAAATCTATAATGCAAATTGAATGATACGCGAAGGACGACGCCCACAAAAAAACATTAAGTGATACCCACCGTTCAACGTTGGCAACCTGCACTAGTGTGCCCTTTGGCCAGGTTATCGACATGTCTTCCATTGGTTTCGCGCCCAGTAGCAACATTGAAAAGCGGATACAATGTAATGCCCAGGTATGCTTCCAAGTTGATCCCTCACTAGGCCGCAGGCGTGGGTGGTACCAGTTTATGCCTTACGGCTTCGTTCCCCCGCTGAGATGCCCTGTCATACACCGCGCGACAAGTGCGCGAGAGAACCCAGCAACATCGATAGGCGGATGCCACTGAATGCGGCGGGCCCCGCCGACATTATTTCCACGGCGCTTCGGCATTCCCCGCGCCGTTCTGGTTACAGACTTTTTTCCGCGAAACCAGCTTCTGGCGAGCCCCCCGAGAAGAGGACGACGACCAGCAGGAACCCCCGCAGCACGGGGCACCCCCCTTTCCCAACCGCACCCCGCACGCGGGCCGCCTCGGCGGACAGCAGCGGCGCGCTCCGCGCACCTTCTGCCCAGGACCCCCCCCCCGAAGGGAGCCGGCTGCCCGGCGTCGGCAGCGCTCGCACACCGGTGCGACACGTGAGCCGAGGCAGGGCGCCGGGCGGAAGGCAGGCAGCGCCAAGGAGCCACGTGCGCCACGGGGCCCGAGAGCGCTGCACGGCCCCTCCCCCGGCTCCTCCGGAAGCCAGGGGCCTCACGCCCAGAGGCACCGCGGCAGGCCCTCCGCTGGCCGCCTGCATCCAGGCGAAGCCCCAGTCCGTGCGCACCCCTGCCCCGGAACTGGGCATCGTGCAACCGATCCCCATCCCCAGCGGCAAGGCCCGGGCCCCGCTGGCCGATCTACCCCCCTAGATGGGGATTTGGGTCGTGATCTTCGGGTTTCGAGGGGTGTATCCCAAACGGGGTGGTGATTTGGTGGGGGTCTCGAAGGGGATGGAGATGGGGATGGGGATCGGTTGAAAGATACCGAGGAATCGGAGCAGGGGACGGCTCCGGGTGCCGCCGGGCGGCTCCGTGGACGCCGCGCTGCGCACGGCCCCCGCCGCCCTCCAGAGGGGCGTAGGGGGGTGCGGCACTGGCGTGCCTGCCCGCGGCTGCTCAGCTTGCGCCGAAGAGCCGCACGTCCAAGCTGCCCAGGACGTTATCAATGTGACACTGAGATCTCTGACTGCCCTGCTGGGGCGTTTCACAATTGGTTCTGCCCTGGAGTGGCCACGAGGCTGCTCTAGACTCTAGGGCGGCTTCTTCTTAACTCCATCCTACTTCTCTCGGTACAACGTTCTTTTGCACGGAAATGTATGGACTCAAGCCTCGAGACGGACCTCCAACAGAGTCCGAAGAAACCCACATCATCGGTTCCCCATGGGTTTTGAATGAGGTTCGCATTCTCGCCTATTCGGCCTTCCGTCAGCTCAAGACGGCCTAAGAAGCCCCCACGATGGCCATCAGACGGCCCAAGGTGGACGCCGAGATCTGCTGACCAGCGAGGCGTGGAGGAGGGGGGGCGGGCAGTACATCAAGGCACCACGGCTGCGTTGCAGCGAGCACGGCCACCCCAGGCGGCTGGTGCGTGGGCGAAAGGCCGTGCTGAAAACCATGCAGGCGAGGCAATGACCCGGCCGGAGCGGCCCCAGGGTCGGCCAGCCGTGCGGTGGGCGCGGCAGAGAGCCGAGGAGGGAGCCACGAGCGGCGCCTGGACGAAGCCTGCAAAAGGCCAGCGAACCACCCTGCCGGGGCAGGGGATGCAGCGGCTGGGCAGGACGCCCAGCAGCGCGGGGGAGGGCGGCCAGGGCGGCCAGAGGAGGCGCGCGGGAGCCAACGGCGGGCGGCAAGACCAGCCCGTCAGCGGCAAGCGCAGCGGCCGCCTCCGGGAAAAAGGGCGAGGCGCGGGAGGCAGCGCTGTCGAGAGGCTGCAACCGCTGGACCTGGGGCACAGCAGGCCAGGAGGCGAGGGCACGAGCGCAACCCCTGGCAGCAGCAAGGGGCACGCGGGGGGGGGAGGGGGGGGGTGGCACCGAATAGGTGCAGCGACGCGGTAAAAGGGGGGTGAACCAGCAGGCGAGGGGCCGCCGGCCCAAGGGGAGGAGAGCAGATAGGCGGGAGGGCAAGCCGACGGCCAGGGAGACCGCGGGCCGGGAGCGCGGGGCAGCGGGGACCGGTGGCCAGACTGGCCGCTACGGGCCCCGCTGCAAGGGGGAGGTGGTGACAGGCACCTGCAGGTCGAATTGGGCAGGCGAGCCCCAGGCGGGCGGGGGACGCTTGGCCGAGGGGAAGGCGCGGGGGAGCAGCGCGAGGGACTCAGAACAGGTCAAAGCAGGCGCGCTTGCCATGTCGGCGGCGACCAATGCTGACTGCGTGCCCCAGGCCACCGCTGGCGCGAGGGGTCGCTGCTGGGCCAAGAGGAGTCGGCAGGACGCTTGCCCTTCCCCTGCGGGAGGGGACCCTTTCCTTTGCACACAACACACACAACACATACAACACACACAACTCCTCCTCCTCCTCCTCCTCCTCCTCCTCCTCCTCCTCCTCCTCCTCCTCCTCCTCCTCCTCCTCCTCCTCCTCCTCCTCCTCCTCCTGCCCCCCGTCCCCCATCGTCCCCCACCCCCACCTCTTCCTCCTCCATCCCTTTTCCTTATAACTGACTCCTCCATGTCGCACCCACAGATGTCTCGGCAGGGCGGGCCGAGCCTTTCGCCTCCGACTTATTCACCACTTCGGATCCTGAAGCTTGGGATCTGCAAAACCTCACAGGTGGAGCAAAAGTTATGTTCAAACTGTGGCTCTCGACTTAGCGCCCCGTACACTCACCGTAAGAGTTTACAACCGTTCCACGGTTTGAGCACAGGTCGATTTCAACCTGTGGTTCTCGCCGTAGCGCCGCGCACATTCGTCTTCTAAATTTGCAGCCGATTCAAATATGGAACGGGTCGTTTTCAACATGTGGTTTTCGCCTTGACCCCGCCACATTCGCCTGAAAAGTTTGCAAACGCTTCGCGGATGGAGGTGGCTCTGT